TATTGGCTCTTTTTGCAGAAGCTCAAGACGTCTTCGTCTAAAAAAGAAGAAGAAAATGGAATGCTACAGTAGAAGCGTGGATGAAAAACTTGATAACATCAGATTAGGAAAAATAACCGCAAATTACCTGGGTAGGATGGTTTTCTGTTCCAAAGTTAACGTCGCTCCACCGTCATTAAATGTGCTAGAAAAAAATTCATGAAGTTCACTAATCGAGCTAATTTAGTGATTCTATTCCTACCTGAACGTCACATCCGGTGGATATTTGAATGGTTCAGCACCAAAGTTGAACCGACACTGCTGGAATGACATAAAAGACGCTGCTGCAAACACTCCATCACCTGCTGGGCGACTTTCTGCAACGTATATTGCTGAGTTTAAAAACGTGAATGAAAAGGTTGAAGCGCTTACTTAGAAATTCGTAATGAGGCCTTTGCAATGGACGGCCATTCAGATAGAACATCACTGTACCCATAGGGAAATTCAAAAGACAACCAATGACGTCACCTAGAAAGTAAAAAAAAATTTCAAAGAATCGCATGGAGGAATGACACCATCAGGAAAAGGTGAAATTACATAAGTGAAAGGTCACTTATGGTTACTAGTTACAGGTTACTTAGTGAAAGGTCTTTATCGAGCGTCATACCTGGACGCCAGGGCTCATGCTCGTGCCGACTAGAATGCGCATTGTGCCAAAGGAGTTGACGACAACCATCATATGCTACGGATGATTCGTCATCTCCGATACCGTAACCTTCCTAGAACAGAATAATGTGTAATATGGAGATGGATAACGACGAAGAGATCACTGACATGATTCAAGAATCGACTTCTCTTAGTAGCAAATCCTATCTGCATAACTCCAGGGGTGAAAACGGTGGCTTCATAAAACCATACCCCATCTTGCACAGCAAATGTGCAACGAACAGATTCAAAGGATGACACATCACAGCGTGCCTGAAATCAATCTCTTTACAAAAAAGCGCAGAAAAATGATTCTGATTATCTAACCAACCTCCAATCCATCAGGTCCAATTTTCAGATACTCGCTGACGTCTTCGTGATTCAACATAGCATTGATTTTTGATACATCCGTCTTTTCGTATGCATACGTTCGGTTTGGTGTAATGACTGCATTATAAAAAGAGTATAAGAGTGATAAGTGAAATAGCAAGCTATTTCACTTACAGATGTTATCTAGCGCCCATGTTGCGCAAAAACCGACTTGGCGTTTCATAGCATCAGAAGTGCAATGGCGCCATTCCTCAAGTTGCTGTAAACTGCACATTTTGTTAAAGAGCAAATATTAGCGCCTAAGATATACACAAAATTGGTAGTCAATCAACATATAAAGGTTTCAGATAAGAGCTGCTGATGGAACCAGGAGTGTTTAAGCTGTTTTAATGCTCAAAACAGGGTCTCCCAGAAATAGAAGTTCTTAACAACAAACTTTCAAAAAAAGGAAGTTTAGAGGTACGTTAAGAAAACAAGTAAATAAGAGAGAATATCTAAACGAGCAAAAGAAAGTACCTTTAGCGGATGGGAGGGAGCTTCCTCCAACGTGCGCGAGATTAAGAATTGATTTTCACTAGTTTGAGCAAACTTTTCCAACGCTAGTAAGGCAAAGAGCACCACACGCGCTTGCGTGAATGGTGGAACCTGGAATCATTATATTATATTACAAAAGCGTAACTACATTTTAAAAAAACTTTTAAACTTACGATTCTTGAAATAAGATAGTTTAACGTCGTGGGGTTGCACATTGCTACACTGCTGCTGCCAGCC